TTATATGCTTTAGAATCAAACTTGTTCGGATTTTCTTTAGTATTCAAGATAAAGCAAGCACATCCAAAAGGATGAAAGTAGGAAATGTTTGGTTTTCTTCCTTTACACAATTCATAAGGAGTCTTCTCTAAAATAGGTCTTATAGAGATTCTATTTTAAATATAACATGTTTTATTTATAGCTTCTGCCCAAAAGTGCTTTGCGACATTAGTTTCATTTATCATGGTTCTGGCCATTTCTTGTAAAGTTATATTTTTCCTTTCTACAACTCCATTTTATTAAGGAGTTCTAGGACAAGAAGAATCATGAGAAATGTCGTGAGTGTCAAACAGGTTTTCAAAATCTTTATTTTAAAATTCACCATAATCGCTTCTAACTTTAATAATTTTATAGTCAAATTCATTTTTTTACTTTTGCGCAGAAACAAGAGAACACAGAAGCAGACTCATTCTTGTGACTTAGGAATTTAACCCATGTCCAGCGACTATAGTCATCTACAATAACAAGTCCATATTTCTTTCCATTTACAGGCGCAGTTTTAACTGGTCCAAATAAGTCAATGTGCAGAAGTTCTAGGGGTTTTGACGTAGAAACAACATTCTTAGATTTAAAATAAGTTTTAGAAAAACTTTCCTTTCTGACATGATTCACAGAGAGCATCTGAAGAAAACGTCAGCTTTGGTAAACCTCTGACTAACTCAAGTTTGTTGAGCTGAGAGATTTTTCTCAAGCTAACATGGCCTAAGCGTATGTGCCATACCTATTGCTCTTCGTCAACAGACTTAAGACATTTAACATTTTGATTTTTTAAATCAGAAAGTTTAATTTTGTAAATGTTGTTTTTCCTTTTACCAGAGAACAAGATTGAGCCATCTTTTTGACTAACAGCTTTACATCCTTTTTTATTAAAGACTATATCATAACTGTTATCGCTTAATTGACTTATGAATAATAAGTTATGCATTAGTCTTTTAACATACATAACGTTTGAGATAGAGAGGAAAGTTCTATTACCAATAGTTCCTGGTCCCTTAATTTTTCCTTTTTGGTTTCCTCCAAAACCCACGAATCCAACATCTTTAAGCTCCAATTCTTGGAACATATGATTTCTTCTCGTCATGTGACGCGAGCATCCAAAGTCCAGGTACCATGATTGATGTTTGGACTTTGCTGTGTAAGAGATCTGCAACATAAATAATCTTATCTTTTGGTACCCAGATATTTTTAGGTCCTTTAATATTAGTCTTACCGGAGTTCCTGTGGAACCTTAGTTTTCGTGCATCATTGAATTTTTGTGTCTGTGACTTTGTGTGATGATATGTGAAGGGAGGTATTGGTTTGTCTATTTTCAGAGGATTATGATCTTCATTAGAAGTGTAACCAATTTCCCTCTTCCCATTTTGACCGACACCATATATCATAGAAGCCATTTTGCTTCTGTTTATGTTGTTTTTCAGAAATTCTTGAAAGGCGTCATCATACTTACTTATAGTATCTTCTAGTGTGGATGTTTCTAAAATCACTTTTCCTTCTTGGCTATGAGCTTTAAGCAAGATTATTTCATTGTTTAATTTTAAATTATTTGCATTGTGAACAAAAACTTCATTTTCTAACTTGTTGTATTCTTCGATTACAATCTCATGAACCTTTTGCAGGTTTTTGAGTTTGTTTTGAAGCTTCTGATACTTTTCTAAGGTTTCAGATAAACATTACTCTAATTCAGAACGTGTGAAATCAGAAAATACCTCTTCAAATTCATACTTAATTTCGAATGAGGATTCTTCAGAAATTATAGATTTTCATGCTCATGTTTTGACTCTGAGTCTGATGTATCGGAGTCATTCCATGTTACTATAAGACCCTTATTTTTGCTTCTGAGGGAGTTATTTTTGTATTGGTATCTTCTGGAATTCTACTTGTTTAATTTTGGACAAGCATTTCTATAATGTCCAAATTCCTTGCATTCATAACACATCATTTCCCTGCTACCTTTTCCTCGAGATAAAGAGTCTGAACGACCATCGTGATTTCTGAATCTTCTAGAACTGTTCTGTCTTTTCTTCTAGAGTTGTTTAATTCTTTTGGAGAGAAGAGAAAGATTGTCCTCATCATCAGAATCTTCGTCCTCAGACCTTTCTGTGAGTTCTTCTTCAGCTTGGAATGCTTTGTTCTTAGCTGGCTTCAATCTTTCTTATCTGGATTTGAGTGTTATTGTTTTTCCTTTCTTCTGAGGTTCATCTTCCTCCAGTTCTATTTCATGGCTTCTGAGAGAGCTGATTAGTTCTTCAAGACTTATATTGTTTAGATCTTTAGCCAATTTTAGAGAAGTGACCATTGGTCTCCATTTTTTTGGAAGACTTTGATGATCTTTTTAACGTGATTAGCAGATGTATAGCCTTTGTTCAGAACTTTTAATCTAGCTACAAGTGTTTCAAATCTGGAGAACATGGTTTCTATGTTCTCATCATCTTCTATCTTGAAGGCTTCATATTTATGGACTAAGGCCAAGGCCTTTGTTTCTTTTACTTTTGAGTTTCCTTCATGTGTCATTCTGAGAGAATAAAAAATCTCTTTTGCAGATTCTCTGTTTGTGAAATTCACATACTCGTTGTATGAGATGGCGTTTAGAAAAATGGTTCTGGCTTTGTGATGTTTTATGATCATTTGCTTATGTTCTTCTTTCATCTCGCTTCTAGGAACTCGATTTCCATATTTTGTTACAGGTGGTGTATACTCGTCTATAACTAGATCCCAGAGATCCAAATCATAACTAAGAAAGTAGCTTTCTAACAAATCTTTTCAGTAGTCAAAATTTTTACTGTCGAAAACAGGTGGTTTAGCTTTGTAGTTGTCTTTTTCATTTGTGCTAGTAGATGTCATTTTGAAAATAGGTTTCTCTAACTCCATGAATCTCTCTACATGATTAAGTGTTTGATTTGAAAATCAATGACAGAGTCGAAGCTCTGATACCAATTAAAGATTAGAGAAAAACACAAGTAAGGGGGTGAATTGGGTTTTCTCAAATTTCTTTTAAAAAAACTTTGTTTTATCACTAGCACACAATGTTAAGTAGGTATTGTAAAATAAAACCAAATAACAGTTATTTTTATACAAGTTCACCTTAAAACTAAGATTACCTCTTATCCACCCACCAAGGTGATTTCGCCTTTAACAAGGACTCAATTCACTAATCTCAAAAGATTACATAATAACCTCTAATAGTCGAGAAAGACCTCTTAGCCCTCTCAAATATACAGACTAGAAAGTCACTTGAGAAAATGTACAAATTTACACGTAGAACAGTATTTTGTGTTTACAAAAATATGCTTCTATAAAGCTGACAAACACTAAATTTTCTATCTAGTGAAGTTACACTTTTTGAGCAACAACTCAGTGTAAATGAATTTTGTAACTGATTGAGAATTTGAGCGTATGTATGAAATATTGTAGCACAATTTTTGCTACTATTGTTCTTGTAGTTGTGTCTTTCACAAACAAAGTGGAGATCTTTTTATAGCCATTGTGAAAAGTTCCGTTGGGCTAGCTAGGAACGTTGAGGCCATTCCTCAATACATGTTTCCTTATATATATATATATACTTTTGGAGAGCGTGCTTACTTCTTTCCATGTTTCCAAGATACTGTTTGAGATAAGTAATCATTGTGTTTGTCTCGAAAATAGTGATTTCTCATCTGATGCTTCTGAATGCATCTTTTGAATGTGTTTCTGAGCACATAATTTTATATACTGATAGTTTTTAGATTTTTTGGTCAGCGTTGTTTTTGATGCTAAATTTTCTTTAACTTTGCTAGATTGCTTTTGATTTGTTCAGTGTGGAACTTTTGATGTTTCATTAGATACACCTGCATTTTATAATACTTGACATACACATATATAATTTCACATATAATTATTATCATCAAAACTTAGAAATGGTTAGAAGCTTTCTTACTCTAAGATAAACATGTCAATATGTGGTAGGGGAAAATCATCTTACGAACTGGTGTCATACTCCAAATTTGTCCTACCCCTTTACCAAATCTTCTAGCTTATGCATCATCATATACATACTCTTCCATTACATCATTTTATACATCATGCATCATTAATAAATAAACTTGGCGTGGAATCAATGATCTTAGGATTTAGGGTTTCTCTGTGCTTGTAGGCTCTCATCTTCATTCAAGATGGAATCAACCGGTTCCTCCAACAATCATGGTGAAGATAAGGTTGGGTTTCAATACTTCAAAGCATTGATATATTACTGATTATCAGAGTCAAGACATGGTAATGGATTCGTTGTGATCATGACATGGTTGTGCTCTCTCAATTGCTCATGGTTTGTTGCTTAAATGACAAGTTAATGTGGACTTGGTATTAAGGTTTCTCCGAAAGGCAAACATGGTTTAAACTTTGGTTTAAATTCATTTCCTTATGAAATCATGAAATGGTCAAGATATTATTCAAAGGATTTCATCAAGACTCAACTCAAGTGTAGTTCAAACATTATTCAAGGTTTCAAGGTTCAAACATTACACAAATATCATTCATCAAAATCCAACAAGATCCATTCTTATAAAGGTTTTCAAGCATACTATCCATTAAAATTCATTCAAGTCCCATCCAACATCATCATGTTAAGTTCAAGTAAATTCTATCAAGACATGTCCATGATCCACACAAAAGCAAAAGAAAAGAAATTCAACCTAAAGAAGAAAGTTTGCTTTGAATATATGGGAGCTTTGAGCTCTGTCATTAACATCAAAGGATTGTAAAGTCATGTACCAGGAGCAATTACAAGACCATAATTTCAAGTTAAGAAAGTTTCATCCATCTTCATTCAATGTCATTCAAAACCAAGTGGCTACAAACCATCATGCTATTACATTTTAAAGCATTGTGCAAAAGGAAAGAATTACAAAGTTACAAGGACTCTTAATTGAACCTAGTTACTACTCTAATCTGCATCATCATCCAACTTGCCTCCATTCAGAAACTTCATGACAGGTCCATATCTAAACCAACATTCAGGTATCGAAAAACAGCCCATGCCCATAGACAAACCAATCGAAACAGTTCAGTCAAACATAAACCATCTACATTATGCAATGCCATGCATTTCAAGTCATACATTTACAAATTTCATCTCAGTAAACCAGTTTCGATGCAAAAAACCAAAGTACACAACATCTCATTCACTTGGCAAAGGTACATCAGCCCATTCATCTATTTCAAGACATAAAACCCAAACACATATTACAAAGCCATAACAAAAATAGTTCAACATTAAACCAATGTATAAAACCACAGGAAATGATTGAATACTAAAACAGTTCATACGAAGGCCGCTAAACAACTAGCCAGTTCAGATTCAATATCCAAATAAAGTGTGCCAAAAGGGTTCATCAGAAAATCCAAAGTAAAAACCAATCCAGAGAGCTATTTCACAAATTGTTTAACATTAAACCAGATGACCAGTTCAAACAGTCTATCAATAAAGCAGTTCACTCATTCAATAAACAGAACCTGCTTCACATTCGCTCAACCTAACTCAGGAATTGAACTCAATCTGAAGATTACCCGAACCTATGCTCAATTCAAACCAAGCCTATGCACAACTAACTCCTAGACCGGAAATTGTTCTCAAACCTCCAACTTTCAGCAACCTAACTCGCATTAACAGTTATCAGCAGGTACTGACATTTTGTAACACTTCACTAACTATAAGTAACATCTTTACCTTTTAACTATAACTTTAACTGCAAACAGGCTCATAACTGTAAATAACTTCTAATAATCACTCTAACTGAATAACTAACAGCCAACTCACAAACTAACTTGTTAACCAATCTAGCAGCTAACAGTGTTATAACAAAACTTCACTCTCATAACAAACTTCACACTAACTAACAGTTAGCAAACTTCCTCAAATTCAATTCTCACCCTCCATTTACATAACTGATCCATCAGATCCAAGGGCTTAGAATTCAACTTCCTCCAACTGATTCCCTCTTCAATAACAAACTCCCAATCTTAACATTACTATACAGAACCTAGCATTTGTTTCACACAAACCTAATCAACTCAAGCTTCTAACTGAAACCGAAGCTGCTCCACCTGAATTCCAAGCCTAACTTCAAATCACCCAAACCTGTGTAACTGACTCCTAAGCTGAGATAACAAACTCCTGAGCAAACTTAACCATCCGAACCTAACTCCCAAACCTTCCCTTCATCCGAACCTAGTGCCTATATATACTCTGCTCCCTCCAAATTTCACACCACGATTTATTATCACCAATTCTTCAGTTCCACTATTCACTTTTCTCTCTTCACTCTCTGGTTTTCTCCATCCCTAACCTCACGTATACGCTTATCACCATTGTTGTTAGAGTTTTCAACCTCTGAAACTCTAATCAACAGAGTTAAGACCTCTAAACTCTCCATTCAATCTCTCTGATGGTTCATAGTAAATGCATCAACACCGCGACAATTAACATTACCGATCGCACACAAAGAAAGTAGACGACGAATAAGAAGAAAGGCACGCAAAAGAAGAAAATACGAATAGAAGAAGTGAAAAGAGGAGCGTACAAGATCGGAAGCGTAACTACCTTGATTTTGACACCGTCAAAAACGGTCGGACGATCTCCGATCGGTAAGCTTCAAACTCTCAATTCTCTTCATATTTGAGCACCGTATTTTGTGAGTCCACGGTTCAACTTGTGTTGTCTCCGATCAATCTTGCGAAGGCGTCTTAGATCGAAACCAAAACGGAATTTGAAATCGAAACTTGAAACGGAGAAAGGAAGGTGATTATGTCGCCGCATGGATGAAGGTTCGGAGAAGTGAGTTTGAGACGGAGCTGTGTGTGGCGGTGATGGATCGGAAGAGATGAGACTGTGGAGATCGACGGAATCACTGAAGCTGAGACGGAAAGTTGATCGGAGATGTTTCGTTGGTGGTAGTATGGAGAAGGCGGCATCGCTGTAAGTGTGTTGATCGGAGATGGAGGAAGAAGAAGGTTGTATGGAGAGGTCTGTGGCGCCGAGAGAGATTAGGGAGAACGCGTTTTTCACGTTTGAAGCTGAACAGTCTCATTTTTTAACTCTACCCAAATTTCTAAACTACATTTTAACATCTTTTATATTTTTATCTGATTTTACTTTTTATTAAATAAAGAAATAATAAAAAAAAAAGAATGGAAATAAATTGAAAATAAATCTGGATTGATAAATGGATTGAGATGAATCAGTGCTTTGGGCCTGGCATTTGCTACCGTATATCACCACCATGGCCCGTGTACTATAATTTTTTGGCTGAGTTAGCATTGTAACAAAAATACTCCTCTTGGGCCTCTGGTTGGTATGTCCAGACCTTCTGCTGGGCCATCCCTCCAAATTTTTTTTCCTTTCAAAATTTTGAATGTAATGAAAATACATATAATAAAACATAAAAAATAGTAGATCTTAGGGGACATTTTTAGGAATTAATTAGGATTTTGTTTAAAATTTTCGGAATGAGATTCGAAATGAGCAAGCAAGAGAGTGAGAAAATATTCAATCCCTGACCCTCTCGAAAGAGAGGGTATTTATAGCCCCTAGCGCTGGGCCAAAGTCCCCATTATCGGGCCACGTTGAGGCCCAATAATAGAGACTTCCAGGGCTTACGTGTGTATGGAGTCCAACAAGTGGACTCTTCCCTGGTCAACTGCTCCGTGAGAATAGGGGTTGGACCCGTGATTTCTGGAGGACAGTTAAGAGGACGGTGATGTGGGGACGTGAGCCACGTTCCCCAACGAATGTGTAGGGAGTTGCCCAACGGTCCCTAGCTTGGGTTGCTTGCTTTTGGGCCTTATACAAGGGTGTTGGATTAGGCCTCCCAATCGGGAAGTGCAGGCCCAATCCAGATCAGGAGCCCCCCAAGTTATTGCCCTTAGGTGGAAGGGTGATGACTTAAGCTCAGCTTTTATAGTCGGAGGGGATTTGATCGAGAAGGATGGTCGAGGTCCTTTGAAAGGAAGCGAGTTGTTGCCCACGTAGGGGACTATCTGTTTGAATGTGTTGGGGATCTTGTGGACAAACGAGCAGTGAGACGGACGGGGTCAATTGTTTTCCTGAGAGAATCGTATAAGTTACGGGGAGCTTCTACGAGTTCTCTTTTAACGTGTCCGTCTTTAAGGGGTTGTCACGATGTTGAGCGTTATTTCGCCCTCGAGGTAGATCGTGATGAATGTGCCCGTATACATGTCTAAGCCATGGCATTGAGCATTCCCTCGTGTGAGGTGTCTGTCTCGTGCTCGCGTGGGGATTACGTGTTAAAGTCGGGGACGTGTCTGTCTATTGAGAATAGACACGTGGTTGATTGTTGGGCCATGTGGTTGTTGCTTTGAGTGCCATCCCTTCAGGGGGAGTCCAAAAGGCCCAATCCAATGATGACTTTTTGTGATGAACCTCGTGGGATGCGAGCCACCTATAAAAGGGGACCGCTGGGTCTCATTTGTCATTTTATCAAGTTTTCTCCTTCAATTTCCCTTGCTCGCGTGTGAAGCTTTCCTCTCAACTTTTCCAGATTTCTTTCAAGAATCCTTCATCCAAGTAAGTTATATCTCCTTAGCAACGTATTTCCTTAGCATTTCTAGATTAAACACCTAGTATTGGCCTTGACTGGATGAATATTCATGAGTTCTGTGATGAACACTCATGAATGTTCATTGATGTTCATGGATTCTGTGACGAACACTCATGAATGTTCATTGAAGTTCATGAGTTTATGATGTCGGGGACAATCTCTCCGAATAGTGGCCATGATGCAGGGGACGATCTCCTCGAATAATGGGGGTTGACTCGAGCTTCTTGCCCGTTTGAGTGAATATCCCTGACGAAAATGTAGTCCTCTTTAGCATATAGTCGAGGGCTTGGGTCGAGTTCATCGCCCTTTCACTTGATTTGTGGTGGAAGGATGAATTTGATAATGTCGAATTCACCTTTTCCCCTGCTTTTCAGGTATAATGGCACACTCAGTCGGGGATGATGTTCTGCCCGCCAACTAAGAAGATGAAACACACGTCGATGAGGACCCCTTGGCCTGGGTGGCACCCAAGCCTCGAAATAAAAGATTGTGCTTTTCTCATGACGCAACAGACGCGTTCAACTATCCGGAGGTACAAGCGGAAGGGGCCCCTGCCAACTGATCCTTCAAATTCCCCCTCGCAACTGGAGAATCTACTCGATGTATCCGGATAAACATTTTCTTATGTACAAGTTCGCGTTTAAAGAGGCGGGGATGCGTTTTCCCTTCAATGATTTCCAAGTGGGAGTTTTTCAGTGGCTTCAATTGGCGCCCTCTCTGTTAGACGATGTGATCGATCTAGAAGGGGGGTTGAATAGATCGTTTAAAATAATTTGTGCTTTTTAAATTTTTTTCCAGAAAAATATGTGAAAGCTTCCTGGAATCTCCAATCGTCTAAACGATCCTCTATTGAAAAGATCGAATATGCGAAACCGTATGGGATATAATGACAAAATAAGAATTAATGCGTTTTACTCAATTAATCAATTACTTATACACTCTCAATGATTACTAGTTACTACCAATGAGTTGAATGAGATAAGGATAAGCACAATCAGTAATTTTGTGGATTAGTCAATTTGTCAAACACCTTGTGAGCAAAACACCTTAGGTTTGGTTTTACAAAATTGTAGTGGCAAGTTTTTTTAGGTATCAATCAAAAGGATTGTTACCAATGTTTTGAAATGAACTCAACACACTACAATTTCAGTAAGTGCAGATTTGACAAATTAATTTTCGCACAAATTAGTAATCAAGTATAGAGATGAAGAAAAAACAGAAGAACACACGATTTGTTAAGGCAGTTCCCCTTGTCTTCCTCACGTAGGATACGTCTTCCCCCAATTATAGAATCTAGAATTGAGATATTTGATATTAAGTTGAAAATGATACAAGAGAAGAGATGATTCACAATACAAAGAAACCAATGTTGCTGATGTAACAGTCTTCTTCCCTTTCCTTGGTTTGAGTAAAACCAAGTTCCAAATTCTTCGAACAAACCTCCGGTTACCGCTACTTGATTAAGCAAACCAACCGTTTCTTAATTCTTTCACTCGGTTTGTTTCAATCGCAAGCAATTTGACCCCAAATCTATCTTCACAATCCTCTGGTTACCGCTACTTGATTAAGCAAACCAACAGTTTCTTAATCCTTTCACTCAACTGAATTCAATGAAGCAAAGACTTATGAAAAAAACCATGTACCAATAGGAATCTTGGAGGAGAAAATCCTAATGATTTTATTCAAGAACATCCCACAATTGCTCAACCCAAATCTGAATTGAATCCTTGATTTGAACGTTATCACCACAACAATTTTCTTGAATCAACAACCATGATTATGTGTAGATGTTGATTTTTGAGAAGAGAGGATGAAAATGATTAGCACTATGTGTATCTTTCACTAGTTCTTATTAACTACAAATAATGATGCATAATGAATATATATATATATATATATATATATATATATATATATATATATATATATATATATATATATATATATATATATATATATATATATATATATATATATATATATATATATATATATATATATATATATATATATATTACCTAATACCCAAGATTCACAAACATAGCAGAAAATTAGTTGAGGCCAGCGAGCGGTCGACTCAACCAGAAGCAGGAGTCGGCGCGACACAACCTGCACCCAGAGAGAAAATTATTTGCAAGTGTAATGCGTCGATCACTTCAGTACTTGCATCGACGTAAACTTTAAATGTTTAGATTTCAAGGTTGAGTCGACCGCTTCAGTACTTGCATCGACGTAAACTTTAAATGTTCAGATTCCAAGGTTGAGTCGACCGGAAGGGTCGCTGCGATACATCCAGCAGTCAGAGAGAATTCCATTTTGAAGTGCAGTGCATCGACCGCTTCAGGGCTTGCGTCAATGAAAACTTTGAGTGTTTTGATTTCTAGTTTGAGTCGACTGGAAGGGTCGCCCTAACACATCCAAGGCTTGATTGAGGATGATGAGTCGACCGCACCTATCTTTGAGTCGACACACAGATTGAATTTTCTCAAAAATACTTGTTTCTAGAGATCTTCATTTCAATACTTCCATTGCAAGATTGTTCATAGATCCAACCAAAATAGAGAAAGATTAATAATAGTTTTGACATCGTTAAAATACTTATAGAGGGACTTTGCCCTCACACTCTCAACTTCACCCAAACGCGTTGGCGTTCATGCGGGCGTTCGAGCTTGTCTGCCAGTATTTGTAAATAGGGGCCACACTGCCCCTCTTCTTTCGTATCTTTCACCTTCAAAGACAATCCATCGGAGGAGGGCAAGCGTGGGTGTCCTTCAAACAGTTCGGGAAGCTCTTTAGGCCTTATTTGGAATCTGTCTGACACTTTAAAGAGAGGTACTTTGTTGTGAAACCTTTGACGAACGTGACCATAGACTTCCTATACACCTGTGTGGAGGAAGTGGATGATGGGCGACCAGTTACCCGGCTCGTGGCCAGATTTCTGCTTGAGTGGCAATGGAAACTGATAGCAGATTTGTAGGTCTATCGGGTGTAGTGACTGCAAGTGCACAGTCTATCACGTAGTTTTAAAAGATATCGAACACACAAGGATTGGTGGTCGAAACTATTGTTATCTTAGGGTCATTGTGTAAAGCTAAGGCTAATTATAAAATCGAGGTATTTGGGTTAAATCAAGAATTAAATAAATTATAATAATTAATAATGGGACACCGGTATGTATTTCATCAACTTAAGGGATTTAGTAAGTCATTGGCATTTGTTTTTAGTATTAAAACACTGTTTCGGTGAAAACTATTTGTTTAAAGACCCTCTTCTCAAACTTCTGTTCTATTGAATCATATCATATTAGTTAAGCTCGAAATGAGTGCTTTCGCTGTTTCATTTAAAAATCAAAAGTATTTTTTGAAAACAAATAAAGTCTAATTAACTTTAAAGCGTTTTCGCTGTTTTTAAAATTAATGTTTTAATAACCACTGTCTGGTTAAAACCTCAAACTTCTGCTCTGTTGATTTTAACCTTAGACTGTCTCTTACTTCCGTACAAAAACAATTAAATATTCAAATTGGAAACTAAAACCAGAAAAGTGTTTTTATAAAATAATAATGCCAATTAATTACCAAACCCTTTCAGTTAAGTTTTACATACCGGTATCAGGGAATCTAGCCAGACATAATTTTACTGCAGAACAACATAAAATTAAAACGTAAATTCAACAACGCATGCATGGTAAGAAATAAATAGA